TCCCTTACTTTATTATTAGTTTAAGCTTTTATGTTGACTAGTTTTTGGTGCATTTTATGCCTTGATTGCCAGTGATGTAAGCTATAATATTTGCTATTTAGTAAAATATTATTTCGGTATTCTTATTTTTTGTAACCTTGCCCAAAAAAACAGTATGTTCACGAGTATAACTACTACTAAAAATTGACTAAAGCAACTGAAACACTGATAATAAGTTATCAAAGAAGAAATAGTGAGTTTATTCAGAAAAGTTACGTTGTACACTAGTGAACACATTTCCGTACCGCCTCTTTCAATCGATGCATTCAAAAATAAGTCAGATAAATGAAAAAAAGTGGATAAACCTTAGATTGTTAAGATTAGCAAACATTAAGCTAAACAGGAAATTCACTGAATGTCATGGATTTCAACTATTTCGTTAAGAAATTACATGCTGCATCCAGTAGAATCATTTACTCAATGAATTATCATATGTGGTATTAAGATGTACACACTATAATCCAAAGGATAAGATAACACTTAGATATCACACTTCTTGATCAAAGTAAGAAATAAATAATAGTGCATCTTGAAACGAACAATTATAAGAAAAATATTAGTTCATTTCCAGAAGTTGAATGCCATTGCTTTACTGATGATCAAAACTTCCAATCACCTACGAGTCATTCTGAATTGAGCACGAAGTTGTTATTCTAACTGACATAACAACAGCAACCAATCAAGATCGAGGTTAGCAGAACAAGCTACAGGTCAAACAGGAGAAATTCGAATGCTTCACTTCTCGATCTGAAGTTTGTGCTGATGATGTTGTTCAGAAGAACAATGAAAGCTCCACAACCAAAACAACCAGCTCAGAGAACAAAACACCACCACGAATATATATACATATTTGAAATCATCAATCAATCATTGTTAGACCAACATTAGAAACCTGGAAGCACTGGACGGCCGTTTCGTCCTGGTATGGGACTCATCAGCAGTGCGCATCCACGACTCCTGCTCCTCGCAGGATTCGAAACCAGGGCCTTCAGCATTGTAGGCGAACGCCTTACCGTCGGACAAATGGGCCGGCATCCAACGGTGTTAATGTCTAACTCTGATTGATCTAGGGATTTCAAATGTGTAAAAACGCAAACCTCCAAAACTCTGTCCCAAAATATATACATATATTCGATGTGACACTAAACTGCAGTTATTTTTTATCAGTAGACTTTAGCTGGTACTCATTTCAGACAATTTTGAAAATTCGACCAAACGAAATTTACGCACAACCAAAAAAAACGTCCTACGTTAAACCAATGAACTTTGAAAAATTTAAAGAAATCTAATATAAAATTAATTTTCTTCCTAATTTCTTTATTGTTCAACTTAATATCAACTTAAATGTAATAAATGATTGTGGTGTGTGTTACTTATACGAACGATATAAGTAGTATAAGAAGGGACGTGAAAGAAGAAGTCTCACGGTCAGAAGAGGAAAACGGAAAGCAAATGGAGCAAAAGCAAGAAGTAAATAGAGTACCAACAGGAAGTAAAGGAAGCAACAACAGGAATGGAAGAAGGATGGAGTGTTGGAAGTCACGACTCAAAGATGGTGTATAAACAGAGTATTCAATGTATTGTTTTCGTTTTTAACTGACTTAGAGTGTAAATATGCATAATACAATCTTCCTCGCCTGCCTCAGTCTTCTCAATTGGTGTCGCTTCTTTCAAGTCCCTTCTTATTCTACTTATATCGTTCGTATAAGTAGCACACACCACACTATCATGTTGTATCGTTAATCGTGTAAGAGAAAAACATTGCAAAATAGTTAATGAAAAAAAGAGTTTTTACAACATTCAAAAATATCCAGTACTTTTAATGTTATTAAGAAAGATGTATACTACAATCTTCCTCGCCTGCCTCGGTCTTCTCATGATTACTAATAATTTTCATTTATCAATCGGTTTTAATCAATTCAGTTATAAAATTCATAATTGTTTCAGCAAAATAATTAATTAATCGTAACTGATTTGAGTCACAATGGTCAGATATCTTTGAATAACAATGTCGACCAAATACTTTGGTATACTTTTAAAACTTCTCTTAGACTTATTAAACAAGTAGGAGACAATTTAAAGTTAACTACTATTTAAGAAATAATTATTATTTTCAGAATAAGTGATCGCATAGAGGACATTAATTAGAAATCAAATACAACTTTTAATGTTTATTTTGGCAACTATAATCAGAAATATCAAATCGTAAGTTAACTACTATCCAGTATATTATTTTGGCAGGATTTCACATGTAAATGATTTTTCCTCCCTAAACCGCTTAAAAATTGTACATTAAAACAACACTATGATTAAGCGTTATTCACATTTAAATGTGAATTTGATCAAGTTAGACATTAACACTGCTAGATACCGGCTCAGTGGTCTAACGGTTAGGGCGAAGGTCCTGGGTTCAAATCCTGCGGGCTGCAGGAGTCGTGAATGCTCACTGCTGAGGAGTCCCATACCAGGACGAAACGGCCGTCCAGTGCTTCCAGGTTTCTAATGGTGTTGCTCTAACATTGATCGATTCATGGTTTCAAAAATGTGTAACTTAACAATCTTCACAACCCCGTAATACATTTAAATGTGTCATTCTAAAATGTTTATCAGTTTTTTAACTGTATCTGACAATTTACAAACTATATTTATGATGAAAATAAATAATGTCAACTGCATAACTAGCTGGAATTACTTATTTTTAAAAGATTTGAATCTCTATCTTTCTCCTTCTCACTGAATCATACTTCTCAAATCATATCTTCACTCCCTAATCTTCTCCATTACTGCTAATACTTTATACTATCGCTATCACTCTTGGATCTGAATTGACAGATGCGTCTCTGTGTTGATGTGGTATGGCAACCTGAACTGATGTACTTACATACGAAGTTCTGCGTTGTATCTGTCTGTCTGACTTATATAAATATAATTGTATTTGCACATTCGCCCGATGTTCACCCTAAGTGATCTCTTCTCAATGAATTTATTATTACGTGACATTTTATGTGCTAATTCCATAAAGATATGAGCAATGAACAAATGTGATGTAATAAAAATGTTTAGATAATTTTGTGTGTATACATATAAAGTCTTGTGAAATTAATAAGTTTGCAGCGGCTGATAATGTGAATGTTAGTAAGATCATTAAAAGTGATTTTGTTGCATCAATCCACCATGAAAGAGAGATGAAATGAAGTACAATGATGTCAGATACAATGACGAAGAAATCCGTGCGGATATAAACAACAGTTTAAGAGAGAGAGAGGGGAATATTTTGAAATACGAAATCGTATAAGATTAAGTTGAACAAATAACGATTTAGTGCTTGATTTTTAATCTAATAATTGATAAATTTGCTATGAAACATGAATCTTCAAACGAAGCCTTTTACTGTTTTGCATAGAATAAAGATTTTCAATAGAACATAGAAAGAGTAGTCGACTATTTATTCAAATCTCTATTTCTCTCTTCTCTTCCATCCCTCACTCTCTGTTCATAATTCAATCAAACGTAGCATTCAGTTTGATGAACTTTCATTTGAAGTTTGGTTTAAATCATACACAGTTCTTATATAAACCTGAATACTGATAAATTAAGATTGGTTTGTCAACAGTTATTTATCTTACAGTCGGTTATTACCTGGTGCATACACATTTAGTAATCTTTATTTTTTTTAAATAAGGCAATGAACTTGTAACCCTAAATGCATTTAGCTGCATACAAAGTGATCGTTATGTAATAGCAAAAGAAAGATAAACAATTCATTTCTATCTTGCTTAGATTATACTGTAAAATCTTTTGATTGGTATGCAACATTGCGAAAACTATCCATGAAAAAGAAATCACTTTGAGATTCATAACAATAAAGATAATTACGAACAGCAGTGTTGATTTGAATATCTTTTGTACAAGGAATTAAGCTATTAATTTGAATCCCTACTCTTGAATTTCCCGGGAAATAATTCCATGCCGTTTTCTAAAAATTTATTGATACAAGTTTGTTTATCAGAAGTTGAAGATTTTAATCAACTAAAAACTAAAATGGGCTTATTTTACTCATTATTTTTAATACTCTATGTGGAAAATGTATATTTCTATGTGTCGCTGTATTACATTCAAAATTGAATATTTAACGTTTAGTCGGATATCAGTTCAATATGTGGTCACATGAAATCAGGTTTACCTCGTGTTCTGTAGTTTAAAATGACTTACAATATAATTATATCAATAAAATATAAGTTTGACTTTTATGTCTACTTACTTATGTAAAATAAAGTGCCTGTAAGAAAAACCTAAGATTCCTACGTACTTGCAGATGTAAACTTTCAGTCATCCATACGTCAGGTATTAAGTTTTAGGATAAAACAGACACTCTGTCTTAAGCAAAGTGCATTAATCTTTACTAAAAATGTTAATTTTAGCAAACGCAGCTGATAATTTCCGAATCTACTAGCTTTCTATTGTTTTTATTATTCATGTTCCGATAATAACTTATAGTAATTTATCTGTTTTATGTCATGTCCTTATTAAATATTAACTTAATGGTTTTCAAAGAAAAAACTGAAAGCTCTTAGGATATGAATTACACTATTTCCGGACTTATAGTTATGCCAAATAGAAACACAAGTTCACAGAATAATTCTTCCTGTTCTATTGAATACACATGAATAAATAATCTTCATACACTTGTGATATTCTGAAACCTTTTAATCAATAACTACCACTCATGTATACGAGATAAATAACCATTGAAAACTAGAATCCATTATAAAAAAAGACTGTTTAATTCTAATATGAAGCATTTCAACACTGTACATTCCCAATCTCATCTGAGATTCACTATATACTGATACAGACTATGAAAATGTTACACTCTTCAAGAAAACAAAAACCTTTTCTATTGACAATGAGAATATTAAAAAAATTACAATAACAAGTGAACTAATTCTGATCATACTTACATTTTGGTATTCTTTTGAAATCCTAAAATAACTTTTATAACAATATAACGGATGATTTTAAAGTTGAACGTAAATTTATACACTAGAAATGTTTTCACTTAAACTTAAATTTGACGTATATATATATATATATATATATATATCTCGCAAGTGAAAAGATTGGTCCTAGTAGTAGGGACTAATATAATGATGAGAAAAGGGGTTGACCATTCATGTTATCAGTATTATTAGTAATGATAGAAATCGCTACAGGATTGTGATAGTGACAGCTAGAAATACAAGTTAAAGCAAAAACTAATTATCATTATCATTATTATTTTACTAGGCATAGTGTAAAGTGAATAGAGATAGACATATCGTTAAATGATTGAATAACCTAGCTATCTGAATATGTATGAATATTAGCTAAGTTAACAAAGTAAGTTATTGTGTAAAGGATGCTTTTTCATGTATAAAATGCTGAAACCATTAGAGTTGATTGGTTGATTGAATCATTGGGAAATTGTTTTGTGATTGTTTAACCAATCATAACATTTCTAAAGAATAAATCAAGCGAAAATAAAGAACAGCGTGAAAATGAAAATAACTCAAGATTAGTTGAGTTATTTATTAAATGGATTTTTGAAGAATTTTTCTTTTTAATTGTTCAAAATTTGTTGGTAGTAAACTTATGAAACGGGTTTTTTTCCTAACAATTATGATAAATAATTTGATCAAGTATCATATTTCAATTGTAATCAATGTTTGTACAAATTGTAAGGCAATGAAAGAGTAAAGATTCAATTGAAATATGACTTTATGTAAATATTTACAATGTGTAGAAATATTTAAACTAAGAAACCATATTATATTGATAAAGATATAACCAATAGTATGGTTTGCATTATCAGATTGTGGAGATCGTCGAGTTACTTATTGAAATCATGAATCGATCAATGTTAGACCACTATTAGAAACCTGGAAGCGCTGGACGGTTGACTGATCCTGTAATGGGTCTCATCAGCAGGGTGCACTCATAACTCCCACTGCGCGTAGGATTCGTGCCCAGCAGCTTCAGTTTTGTGCGCGTATGCCTAACCTCTGGATCACTTAGCCGGCATCTAACGGTGTTAATATGGTGGAGTCGTAGAAACGCACTGCTGATGAGTTTTTATACCAGGAGGAAACGACCGTCTTTTATTACTTCCACATTTCCAACGATTGTCTAACTGTACACTTGTTAATTTGTTTATATCAAGAGAAAATATTCTAAATGTGATAAACACAGGAATTTTGAATACTTTTACTCAGATAATTGAATTGTATAATATTTTTAGGACCGAGATATTATTGAAATTAATCGCGTCTCTTATTGGTGAAGAGATTTATTTTCTTTTTAGAAAAAAAGTCTTATAACCATTTAGAATGAAATTATTAGAAAATAAAACACTGATACTGGTACTTGTTGTGGACGTTAGATCCCCAGAACTCACTAGGAAAAATTTCTTATTTCCGATTTTTTGTGTTTTCGCGCATAAGCTGCTTAGTTGGCCATGGGATTACATTTCCCAATCGGAAAATCCTTGGCTATCATTAGTTGATGGATTATTTTAGTATGCTATTTTTGTGGCTCTCTCAAGAACGTTTCCATCATGTATAAATAAACTCGATTTGTATGCTTGTTGACCTCATATTTTTCTGGGTGCTTGTAGAATACACTTTCAACGCTTTATCAAGACTTCTTGATATAGTTAGCCGTGCCGAAGACAAACGGATTAGAATAGCCTATCGTGTCACTGAGTCATTGCTGTCGTCTCGTTTACCGACTAAGGTGAATTCGTAATAGTTTCAAGCATATCAGTACTGTATGTTAAAATGAATGATGAGAGACAGAGTTGAATATGATGTTCCTCTTTTTTTAAAAAAAAACCTTTTAATCAGATTAGATAGGGTCACAGAAGCTTAATGCCTTAGTTATACGTAAAACAATCAAACATTTCATGAGAAATCATGAAATTAACTTGAGTCATGATGATGCAATAAAGAGTTTACTGTTGATTATTGTATTTTTTTTCTCTCTCAAATTATTCAAAGCTTCAATAATTATTTTACTATTTTTATGAATCTTTTCTAAATAAAATACCATTGAAGCAAAATTTTCATCGCTAAATAGAACTCAGCTTTACAACTGTATAAAATCATTGATAGTCAGACAGTTGTATTGTTTCGGTTTAAAGTTTGTCAATAGTTTGCACTTGTAATCGGGAAAAATAACAATTTACAATTACACTAGTGTGCTGATTAAGACTAAAGTAAATTGGCTAAAGATGGAAATTGTGGAACTCGGGATTTTAATTTATTGATTAAAGCTCATCTTCCTCATTGGGAAGACATCTTGTCTATAGATTGGTCATCATCTTAAGTTACGTATATAAGCTGTCCAGTAAATGATCTGAAAAATGTGTGTGGACACACATACTTAGGAAGGAGTTATCGGACTTTGCAATCAAGGGTTACGGAAAATGTACCTAAGTGGCTTCGAAATCAGTTAACGTCATATGAGTCGATAAACGTGGGAAATAGAAAACCATGTTCATCGATCGCAAAACACATAATTGAGACAGGGCATAAGATTGACATGAAGACAGCTTTCAAAACATTGTGTAGAAATGTTGAAGGACGAATTTTGAGGTTTATGGAGACCTTGGCTATTTGAAAATTAAAACTCCCCTTATTTGTACAGAAACAATGTTACAGTTTCCTACTCTTTCTTATTCTTTTCATATTATGTTAATTTTCTCTCTCCTTTATTTACAATTATCACCTTCTGCCTATTTGAACTTTTTATTTAATTGACCTTTTATTCATCTTCATATAAGTGTATAAGTATAAGTGTATATGTGACCAGATTGTTCGAAATGTATAGCGCGCAAATACATCACATTTTTCAGATCAGTTACGTCTTCTCACTGTTCTATTGAAAGTTTTCTTTTTATTTTTACATTCGTTAAAATGTCAGTTTTCGAACCTATGTATCTATTGAACAGTTTATAATTCAGTTTGTTTAGGATAGTGCCGAGAATATTGTAGTTTTGTAAACAATGTTATTTTTTAATACTATTCGATTGATATTACAGATTCTTTGTCTATGTTTTTCCATTAATAAATACCTTTTTAAATGCTTGTATAATCCCTTAACTCAATCTAATCTACGAAATTATCTTTTATATTTCATCTAGACACTGAAAAATTTTGAGATGGTGGAGAAAACTTGTAGCTCAGGTGGATGATTGTGGTGGTGTTTCGTTCTCTGAGCTGGTTGTTTTGGTCAACAGCAACCAATCAAGATCGAGGTTAGCAGAACAAGCTACAGGTCAAACGTCAAGAAATTCGAATGCTTCACTTCTATCTGAAGATTGTGCTGCGGATGATGTTGTTCAGAAGAACAATGAAAGCTCCACAACCAAAACAACCAGCTTAGGGAACGAAACACCACCACACTGAACAATATTTCTGAAAGTTTATATCAGTGTGAAGTTTGATAATATTAGTGACGAGACGGATATATTACATATTACAGATGACTTAATCTTGGTGGTAAACATAACATATTTTTATTCTAGCCAATTATCGTTCAGTTTTCAATTTTTTTTAAATGCGCTCTTGAATTCAATGTTCAATGAATCAACTCATACACGCCGACTCGTACACTGTCATTTCTACAAATAATCTCAAAAACCTTTACAACCAAATCATTCTCATTCACTAAGGATAATCTTATTTTCTGTTAAAAATCTTATCAACGATTTGTTTTGATGTTGAAATCAGTATAAAACTATATGAGTCTATTATGTAACAAATGAAATTATGCGAAATTGACTAAATATAGGCGAATTCATGTAAAATGATTAATTTTTGTCAGTTTTGTATTTATCAAATTAATGGAAAATGTGAAAAAATACCGAAATAAATGAATATAGGATGCATCTTATATCAGACTATGTGAAAAGGGTATAAACGAAGGAAATTGATTTCCTGAGTACAGATTTGTACATTAATCTACAATCTAGAATCAAAATATATGGTGCTGTGTGAACTGTTTGTCAATGTATTAGCTTATGAATAATTTAGATAGGAAAAATAATTTTTTAGACTAAATTAATTTTACTGTTAATGTTTTTTGGCCAATGATCAGAACACATTGAGCAATAGGGAATTTCTCTAATAATTACGTCGTTGCAAATTGTTATTATGTGTTCCTTGGCCAGACACTATCAGCAGCAACTTACTGTGAGAGAGAACAAACCAGATTCTAGTGGAGAAGGAAATCAAGAAGAAGCGGTGGAAGTGAATAGGACACACACTGCGTAAAGCACCCAACTACGTCACAAGATAAGCCCTCACATGGAACCCTCAAGGCAAAAGGAAAAGAGGAAGTTCAAGGAACACATTACGCCGAGAACTGGAGAAAGACATGAGAAGAATGAACAAAAACTGGGAAGAACTAGAAAGGGAAGCCCAGGACAGAGTTGGTTGGTTTTCAGGTAAACCAAGGATACCACTCACATGTTAGCATTTTGACATGAACAGTTCGTGTCAATCCCGTGGTGTAACCATTCAGTTACCTGATACCCTTGTGGACCATTCAGACCATTTATATACACTTGTAAATATATAGTGATTATTTCCTATCCATGGTCGTGTCAAACAATGTATCCAGCATGAACAGGACAATTCGACCCATCCCGCTTAAATGACTGTCAAACTCACTACTATTAGCAATGCCGAAATGCAATACAGCACCTCAATGCTAATGGTCCTCGGGAATGTTACAAAACAACCACCAGTATCAATGAAGTCTGTCGCCCTGCTAACCAGTTTTGTATATGGACGATTAACAATACTTTCTGAAGCAATGACAAGCCACCCACAATATTCACAGCTAACCTCTGGTCTCATAGGAAACTTTCAGCTCCATATGGCAGTATAGCATATGGTATACACATATATGGTGTAGGATAGCAGAACATGCAGCCCAGCTTGATGCAAATAGACCCAGACACTCCTATTACCCTTTGTTTCATGTCGGGTAATGATTTTTTTCGCAGTTCCGAAATTTTCATTTTTCGACCATCCAAGACCTGAATTAGGTGTAGGATCCCATTCAGAATTATAACTTTTCATATTTCTTATTTTATATGGCTATATAAAATATCAAGAAACTAGTTAAATGAATATCTTACAGACTGGTCATGAGTTTGTCTGAAATGTTCAATTTAATTAAAAATTCCTTATCTGATATAAAGTGATTGGAGAACTATATAAATTAGATTGAATATTAAGTCATTTAGTTGTAGCTTCATTATGTAGACGAAAAAATAGAGATGGAAAGGTTTTATATTTTTTTATACCAATGAAAATGCACATTATACTTCAGATACATTTGAATTTCCATGGAAAAAATATAGTGATGTATCATATCTTGTAAAGATAGGCATACGCATGCTGAAGTACATTAATCTACTCTAGTGTTTTCTTGACTTTCCCTCTCTTCATTATCAAGGTCTAGCTTCAACCTACTGAATCACGTGTTCACTTATAATATTTTGATAAGTTTATTTTATCCTCAATAATATTGACGATGAATTCATTTGTTCAGTAAACCGATAATTTGTTGAGAACTTCAACGACCAAACGCAGTTGTTATTCTAATAAAGTTCAGTGCTATGTAGGCCATCAGTTCCAAGTGTTAATTCGTTCAATCATCGCGGAGATCTTGCTAATTTTCACGGACAATACTTTCTGCAGACTTATTTTATATACTACTAAAACTGATAAAATATAAACTACTGATTTAACTAGACATTTTTAAAAGAAACTTTTGTAATTTGCATATCATGTGGTTGCTAGTTACAGATATTCATACACCTATACAGATATACTTATATATAGGGAAGTTTCTAAAGTAGATTTTGTTAATGTTTCTGCTGTTGAAATTTTTGTTAAATGTACATATGTTTCATTATGTAATTATTGAACATTTTTTGAGGAAGCTAAAACATTAATTTCCTGTTTTGAATATATTTCATTTTTGTTGACAATCCCCTATGGAATAAATCACGTTTCCTACTCCATACCTGTTTTTTTCTGTCGTGTTATCTACAGTCAATGAATTCACAATTAAATTTATTAATATTTTTTAATAATTCGGTCTCTTGAATCGAATTCGACACCTATTTGCTGAACGTAAACTAGATCCTGTATTCATGTAATCATGGAATATAGTGTGGTGTGAGCTACTTATAAGTAGTATATGACGTGAGTGTCAACGTAATGTCTGGCAGCAGAAGATGGGGGAAGATCAAGAAAGGAGGAAGAGTTAGAACACAATGGAATTTGTATGAAACGCATGAATAGTAGTGACAATGGATTGATGTTTTGCAACAGGAACAGTCCAGTTCGATATGATGAACTGATATTTTGCAAATGAACGATTTACGATATGGTTTTCCAATTTTACTGAGTAACTCTGTAATTTTCGTTAAATACCATCAGGTTGCTCCACCTGTGTTCCCATTCACTACAATAGTAGTTTCTAGATATGATGTTTCATCTTGCTTAAATAAACACTATTAAAAGTTGAATGTCATCAATTGATAAATAACATAATCTTACTTGTTCTACAAGTTACATTCTAATTGCTACTTTTACAGTGGACAAAAATTTGAATTTTCATAAAATTGTTGAGTTATAATCGGCAAGATTGACCTTCTTCTCTATTTTTTATCAATTAAAATTTAGAGATTCAACTAAAAACACTATTTCTTTTAAGATTGATTTTTCGCTTTTAAAGTTAGTTGTGTAAGGTTAAAACAATTTAATTTTTTTTCCATTTTTTGAATTTCTTTTTATCAATAATAATAACATGAATGTATTCAATAATTTCATATACCCGGGTAAGTTATTTAATCCTAAAATCAATATTAATTCAACAATTCAATTTCTAATTTAAAAGTTTCTAGTGTTCAATGCATAAGCTAAATTTTTAAAAAAAGTTCATTACAACGTTATCATACAATTTAAAAATAAGAAGTTCTATGCAATTCTTACATAAATGTCAGTTTGGAGCCTTGCTTTAAATGAGAG